CCCCAAAACCCCAAAACCCCAAAACCCCAAAACCCCAAAACCCCTCCACTTTTATCCATTATTGAACCAAATTATTGCAAAATAATTTAAAAATTTAAAATGTCAAAAGAGGGCTTTTCGAGGGGTATACAGAAATCTACACATTTGATGAGTAAAGGAAATAAACCGAACCTTAGTAAGTACGTCAGTGGAAAAATTAAGTATGTCTCGAAGGAAAGAAAGCGGGATATTGGCTTAGTGATGACTGACCAAGTCAAGAGTCAGACAAAAAGTCGTAATAATATTGGCATCCCGAAGTATAAGACTAATGAGTACCATAAAACTGCACTTGGAAGGTATAACAAGGATTATATCTCCTCAGATCATAAATCTAAACCTCCGAGAGGAAGTATTAAAAGGATAGATACTAGCCTAGGAGGGGATTATTCTAAAATCTCTGATTCCATGACTTTTGATTATTCTATTGAGTCTCAATCAAGCAAAGTGCGCTTAAATAAAGTTGCTCAAGCGATGCTTGGTAATTTTGATCCTCTCTGTGCTAATCACATGAAGAAAGGGACAAACAAAATTCCAAGCAAAGTTGGAATATCAACTTCATATGCCAAGAATCGATTGATAACACCGAAATCGCAATCTCCGCACAACGAGGTGCATAAACCAAGGAAAATAAGCAAGAAGTGATTTAAAAAACAACCAAGGAATTCTCAAAATCGGCCAAATCTAAAACTTGAGAATAAAACTCCTTCATGTAAGAACCTACTGAAGGCTCAGATCTCTCAAATGAAGCTTTCTCAACGAAAAGAACATAATTATACTCAATGCGTTGAAGACAATGTTGAAAATATTTCTCAAAATTTAGTCTTCAAAAAGGATAGTCGTCTTGAAAAGAGCAAAAGCAAGAAGTCTGTTGGCTCAAGCGCTTGAGATAGATCTGTCAATGATTCTACAATAAAGAACAGAGGGGCCATAATAGACAGATTTGCTCTCAAAAATAGTAAAAACACAGCTATATCTACTGGAAAGAATACTAAAAGACAAGTAAAGAAGATCAAACAGTCAAGTATTAAGAAGCACACAGGTGCTAATGGCAATCTCAATTTTGCGAATAAAGTTATTAGCTCAGTAAAGAACTCAGGGACCTCAAGAGTGACATATAATCAGATATTTTACACAAATAAACCGAAATCTAGTTTGAAGAACTATAACAACGCTTTGCAGAATTATCTACCTAAGAAAGGGACTTGTCGGGAATCTTCTAGCTCCTCCCAACTGACTTATGTTCTCAAGCCTAGGAAGGATCTGAGCACTACTTCTAGGCATATCACTTCTGGGAAGAAGTTACATCAAACAGAAAGTTCTCCTATCAGGAACAAGAGCAGATGTGAAGGCTCAGATAGTGTAAGAGGAGGCATTAAGAACAAGCTTATTAAGACAATCTCCAACCATCAGATAATCAACAGGAAAAAGAGCACTAAGAAAGTGAAATAAACCCAGAAGTGATGATAGCGACTTCATCCCAAAGAATAACCTGTCTAAAGGGCTAAATTTTGACTCTGAAGAATCTGACTCTTCAACAGAGTTTGAAAATCTCAATTCAAAAATATTTAGCGGAAAGAAGAACAAAATTGCTAAAATTATGAAAAAAATTAATGAAGAGTTCTACCTTGCTGCTGAGAGTGGATCTATTATGAAAATGCAAGCATTACTTAAGGAAAATAGAAAGAACCTCAGACCTGATATTAATTTCAGAGGTCCTGACTTCAAAACACCTTTATACTCAGCAACCTGAGAAGGACATATAGAAGCTGTTGAACTTCTAGTTTCTGAAGGAGCGATTGCTGATACCAAGACTATTTGTGAAAGGAATCCATTTCACATCGCCTGTCTTAGAGGTCACTGTGCGATTATGAAATTGCTATACAAAGCAGAGCCAAGACTTCTAGACTCTGTAGATATATATGGAAATACTCCTACTCACTACGCATCAAAATACGGAAATCTAGAGACTCTCAAATTTTTACTCAAGCAGAACCCAAAGCTGTTCATTAAGAACAAGAAAAACAAGAATGCCATGGATGTTGCTTATGATGATGATGTTATACAAATTTTCTCAAATTACATGTCCAAGATCAGAAAGAATATCAAAAGTATTCAAAAAAGTAAAATATCCGCTAATCTGGAGACCTCTGAGAAGCGTAAGTTCAAAAATATCCAGAAAAGTGAGAGAAAGAGCCATGATCCAGGCTATTCGAGGAGGGATACTAAGCCTGATAATGAGAAGTATTTCTATCAAGTTAGGAAATCTACTGATGACTCACATCTTACAAACCAGGAGGTCAATCACAGTTGAAATAAAGAGAATATTAGCCATCAGAAGAACATATTGAGACCTAAGAATGAAATTCAGATTAATAATTTTAATAAGAGAAGAAACAGCAATGATCCTAACCTAGTTCTAGGGCTCATGACTGTGAAAAATCATAGTCAGCCTCTATACTCTCGAAATGGTAGACTTATGCAACAAGCTATGACTGACAGAAATCATTATAATGAGAAAGAAAATATAGAAGGCTTTAATAAAATTAGATCCAGCACTAAGAACAGTGGAAGGAGTCGGAACGGTGGTAAACTAGGAGGCTACAGCACTGATAATTATAAGTATAACAATACTTATAAACAAAATACCTCAGGTCTTCAGCCTACTATTGCTCCAAAGAATCCTATTAGGATGTATAACACTATTGAAGAGATGAATTTCGCTCCTGAATTTGAAGAAGTTCCTGAAATAACCCATAGCAAGAAGATCGGACCAAGCTCATTCATTCCTATCCAATTGCTTGGCAAAGGTTCCTTTGGAGAGGTGTATTTAGTCCAAATGAAGTCTAATAACAAATTATATGCAATGAAAATTTTACAAAAGGATAAGATTTTTTCAAATAATCTCGTAAGATATGCCACAACTGAGAGAAACGTCCTTACCTATTTCACAAAGCACCCTTTTATTGTGAACCTCAACTTCGCCTTCCAGACTGCCACTAAGCTATTCCTGGTTTTGGATTATTGTCCTGGAGGGGATCTTGGCCAGCTTATTCAAAGAGAAGGATATCTCAGTGAGGAGCAATCTAAAGTATATATGGCAGAGGTCCTACTCGCTCTTGAAGATCTACATGAAAATGATATTATTTTCAGAGATTTGAAACCTGATAATGTTGTTATAGGCCAAGATGGTCACTGTCTCCTTACAGATTTTGGGTTATCCAAAGAAGGAATTTATGATAATAAGTCAGCAACCAGTTTCTGTGGGAGTGTAGCTTATCTAGCTCCAGAGATGCTCAAAAGACAAGGTCATGGAAAGAGTGTAGACTGGTATCTCCTAGGAGTCCTTCTCTATGAGATGTTGTTTGGGAAGACCCCCTATTTCTCAGAATCAAAAGAAGAACTGTTCCATAATATTAAAGGAGGCAAGCTCAAGATTAGTAGAAATCTTAGTGATGAGGCTATTGATATCCTAAAATGACTTCTAAACAGAAATCCACATAAGAGACTTGGAGCTGGAAAAGGAGGAGCTAACGCAATTAAAGCTCACCCATTCTTTGATGAAATTGACTGGGATCTTTGAATGGAAAGGAAATTAAAAGTACTTCCGGCTATTCAAAAAGAAATCACACCTGCTAATATATCAGAAAAAGTCTTCAAAGAAGATGATGAAATTGACTCAGATCAAGTTGTCGATGGATGGACATTTATCTGGGGGTGCTCCTCTTAATTCATCAAATTTTAAAATTTCTCTGCTTAGATGCCTCAAAATTTATCTCTCATGATTAAAGCCTTGTCAGATTATCTCTATTTCTGTTGACCAATATTCAATCTATTAAGTGGAAAATGGGGTTTTGGGGTTTTGGGGTTTTGGGGTTTTGGGGTTTTGGGG